TGCTCTGCTTCCCTCACCGCTCCGTAAATCCCTACTGGCGTGATTGTGTTCACAAGCAAGTGCATGTAGGTTAATTTCACTGCCCTTTGAAACTGAAATAAAGCCCTCTTCAGTGCCGTTTGTCTTATGAACAGCAGGGAGCAGCACTTCACAACAAAATCCATCTGTGGGAAAGATTCTCATAACTTTACTATTCTGTATATGAGGCAGACCCCTGAGAAATTAGAAAACTGAAGAAGTATTATGGAATGGACTCAATGTCGATGTCATATATTAAAATGTCAGAATAATGTTATATTCAACTGTAAAAAGGAAATAACTTTGCATTTTTACTTATGTAGAATTTTGTCCAAACGTGTGTTTTAGTGAATAATTAAAAATATGAACAAGATGAAAACATTGTGCTGTTGCTATGGTTTAATTTCTACTTTAAATATGAATGTAATGAGGAGAAAAAAGCTTTTAACTGTAAAACCCAGATCAATGAAAAGCAGAGTAGAAATATCAAGAATAGAATGTAAATATGCAGATCGTTTATCAACATTAATCATCATTATCATTAAGCGTAATTGAGCCCCTTTGAATAGACATAATTCTCTCATTAACTTCCCTTCTTGTTTTGTGTCGGCCAAAGGTGCAGCTATGGACCTCGGTGACTTGGAGACGGTTGTTGCAAACTCTGCCTACGTTTCAGCGCGTGGCTGTATTGATGGAGCGACAGCAGCATCCATGCGTGACAAGAAGATGCGTGCCAGGCTGAAGCTCCCACACATCAGAGATTGTGAACACATGAAAGCATCTGTAGACACAGCTTTTGACAGCATGTGTGTCAATCAGCCCATTGGCAAGCACCTGTTCCTGCAGTTTCTGGAGAGTGAGGCGACCCATAAAAATGCTGGAGAGCTGTGGAAGGACATCGAAGACTACACCGTATGCCAAGAAGCAGACAGAGCGCAGAAGGCCCAGAAAATGGTCAATAAATACTATAAGTCAGCTTCAAAGATGTTTTGCAGCTTCCTGGAGGAGAAGGCCGTTGCTCGGGTCGTTGAAGACTTTAAGAACGCCCGCGGGGACCTTTTCAAAGAGAGCGAGCAGCAGATGCTCAAACACCTGGAGAAGATGGCCCTCACTGGTTTCAAGGACAGCATGTACTTCCTGCGTTATGTCCAGTTCAAATGGTTAGAGAGCCAGCCTTTTGATGAAGACTGGTTCTCTGACTTCAGGGTCCTGGGTAAAGGAGGTTTCGGAGAAGTGTTTGCTTGTCAGGCTAAGGCAACGGGCAAAATGTACGCCAACAAGAAGTTGGAGAAGAAGAGGTTGAAGAAACGTGGGGGCTACCAGGTAAAGCACACATGTGGCAGCAAATAACCATTAGTGGCAATCACAAGAGTAACAACACAAAGTGAGGTCAAACAAGAGGTTAGAGGGGATTTAACCCAGACATTTATTTTACCAAAATGGTTCAATGAAAAGAAAATTGTGACTCTCTAAAATACCTAACAGATCCGCTCAGGGATACTGAACTAAAGCCCACTGCTTCTAAAAGCAAGACTGGTAAAGCTGGTAGGCGTTACCAAAAGAGGAAAAACATTAGACATCCTGTATGGATAAAAGAAAAGCTTCAGTGCAACATTAGTACATTCCCCTGTCCATACGGTACCAGCAGGGGGTGTCATGTGTTATGGAAAGTCTTCAGTCTTTTAAACTACCCTGCAGACTAAATTGTTATTATGGCACATGGTTTGCCACACCGTGAGTAAACCATGCATGAGAGCCAGGATTAGAAAAACCAGGCCCCAAGATAGTTAAGCTAAATGTTCAGTGACTTCAAATATCAGCCAGTAGTATAAGACCGCGTTTTTTTTTACAATCAACAAATTGAGTTAATGATAAGATAACTATTAAGAACTTCAGGGTGCTAATTATGTTTTAAATGATGTCAGACCGAGCAGAGGTAGGCTCGTAGAAACTGTAGCAGCATGTCGTTAGTGGCGCATTAGCAAACGTTACTCACAACAAACAAACAAACAAACAAACAAACAAACTCACAAACGTGTGTTTGTCTCTCGAGCTGCATCTAAAATGTTATTCAGTGCCGTGAGCTCAACGTATATTTCTGAAGTTCTGTCGCCTCGGGCTGCAGCTAGCAGGATGTATGAGCAGGACGTTCACACAGACTTTGTTTGTTTGCACACTGAGCGTGGTTTCTCTGCATTACGATCGCTTTAGCTCACAGCAACAGTCTTTAGTAAATCCACAGACTACGATTTAGATTGTGGTTGTGTTTGCGCTTTTGTAATAAACTTTGTCTATGCATTTGTTCACGTAATTTGTTGTACAACACTCAACTATCCATCCTGCATTTTAAAGGTAGAATATTAGCCCGGCATTGTTGAATCTCATCTTTCTGTAGAGGTTATTAGTATTGATGAATGTTGCGTCAAAATGCAATAGCACCTGCTACAAACATCCAGTCCCCTGTAGCTTCTGTGCTGTGTGTAATTGTAGGTCAGTAGCTGCATACAGTTGCTGTTTCATATATAGCCTACGTCTCCTGTGGTGTTGATAACAAGTATGATAGTTTGTCAAATATACTGTAAGCTTTCCCTCTCTTGAGCCTCATGCCTGTGAGGGTACTGGGTTTCCTTCCTTCTAAAAGTTGGCATTCTTGCTTCTGTTGGACATCAATTATTTCCTGATTTTTAAATGTGTGTTTTTAGGGAGCAATCGTGGAGAAGCGCATCCTCGCTAAAGTTCACAGCCGCTTCATCGTGTCGCTGGCTTACGCCTTCCAGACCAAGTCTGACCTCTGTCTAGTCATGACCATCATGAACGGTGGAGACCTCAGGTGAGCTTTACAAACACCAAGTACAGCCAGTGGTGGGAAGTTACTCAGTTCATTTACTCAAGTATTTGACTTAAGTAGCCTACTTTTTTGACACAATTGTACTTAAGTATTCTCCTAATACACAAAATACACATAACAACCTTGGTAATAAAATATTGTGAAAAGATCCATTCTGCATAACAAGTAATTTCACTGATGATACTTCAAGTACATTTTGCTGATAATAATAATAATAATAATAGTAGATTTAATTTGTTAGCGCTTTTACAGGTGCTCAAAGACCCTTTACAGATAATAGTGAAGAGAAAAGAAAAGAGAAGAAAGGAACAACAAATAAATATATAGTTAAAGTTAAAGTCAAATAATACAAAAACAATCACACATGAAAAGCCAGATTGAAGAGGTGAGTTTTTGTGAGTTTTTTGAAGGTGGTGAGGTCGGTGCAGTCTCTGATGGTGGGAGTGAGTTCCAGAGGGAGGGGGCAGCGACGGAGAAGGCTCTGTCCCCCCCAGGTCCGGTGATTGGTGCGGGTG